AAAATATCTATCAAAAATACGTGTCGCGTTAATTTTGTCCTTGGTAGTTTATATAGAGTCATTTGATTGATCCATTGACCGTACAATGAAGAAAAGGAATTGAAGGACATATTAAGTCTTTTTATCCTTTTTTCCTTTGACCACATTATTGAATTAGCAAAAGCGACGTCAATCCCATATTATTGTGGTAATAGAAAAAAAAAGAAAAGAGTGAATCGATGAAAATTAATGTCAAAAAAATACATGCGCTTTTTTCTTGATACATCTTTTTAAATAAACATCTATCTTCTTTTGAGTCATTCTATAATTTCTGACGACATTTAATTCATAATAAATACTATTTCAACTTTTCATGAGTTGTGAAGTTTATTGTATATATATATTAACTTTGTTTTTGATTGTCTAATAATGACTTCATAGGATCTCTATTGAATGTAGATGGAGAACATTTCGTTTCGAAAAATTTGAATTTTTTCAAAATTATCAATTTTATAGACTTGACAAAAACAAAAAAATATTTTTTTCATCGGTTAATAGTCCATGAAGTTCACTACCAAGAATTTTCTTATTATTTTCAAATCCCATGTTTCCTTTATTTTCTGCAATCGTTCTATAAATGATCATTGTAGTGACTAATAGAGAGTAAAGAGTTAAAAATATTTTACCGATGAATTATATTCATTAGAAATGATGTTTGAAAATAGCGGAAAGATAAACAAAAAAACATATCGTTGATTTCCCATGATAAAGTTACTCAATTGTTTTTTTTCTTTACTTCCTCTTGATTTAATTTGAAACTATTGTTTTCTACTAGAATAAATATCATATTATTTCAAAAAACCAAAATTCAAATTTTTTTCCGGTAGATTTCTGATGGTTTCACTAATTATCTATCAATGTCAATACGACCGTTTCGAGTTAGTTTTTCTTCTTTTATGAGAATAACAAAACAATAATTGAACAAATATCGGAAATCATTATTCTTCACTTTCTTTTTTTTTTCAAAAGCTAGATTGCATTAGCAATACAATTCAATTTTGCTTTTCTTCTTCAATTCATATTAACAATTTATCAAATCAGGAAATTTACATACTTTATCACAGGCTTTTATTTCCGTTAATAGAAAAAAAAAAAAAAAAAAGAATTGATGATATGTTTAATCAACTAATCATTTGTATGTTTTTATTAATTTATATATATATATATATATACATGTTTTCGATATAGTTATTCATGAATACAAACTAATAACAACATTTAATTATGTTTTTCTTTTTTGTTTTTTTTTAGTATAAAACTAATCTGGATAGAAATGGTCCTTCTTCAAATATTACTAGAGCAACAACAAATGATGCAAACAATAGTAATATGTTAGCTGATGACGATCTGCCTGAAATTGTTTCTATTGTGAGTAATAAATCATATTCGAATATTTTATTTTATTTTACTTAAGTCTTTTCTTTTGTATAAATTCTTTATATGCAATCATCTATGATTGTAGAAATCTACAACTAGTAGTAGTTATGAAATGGTAAATTTGAATTAAAAAGAAAAATACTAATTGATTTTAATTATAGTTTTTGTTTTCTAATATTACTATTAATGCTTGGGTGTCTTTTTTTTTCTTATTTGGTGATTTATATTCTATGAATGTAAATTACGAAAGAATAGGAAATTTTTTGAGTACTTTCCAGAATATTCTTGTTCAATCTATAAATGATTCATTTGTAATTAAGCAACGAAATTATTAATCACATGCAATGTTGACTTATATTGAGTAGAAAGAAAAGAATTATTGATATTTCACCTCTTGACAAAGAGGTCGATAAATATTCGAGTAAACGTGGAAAAAAAGAAAAAAAAAGACAACAAATGATTGTTTTTGCTTATCATGGGCAGAAACATGACGTCATTTAGCTGACGTCGTTAGGAGCATGCGCCAACATTCTCGTATTCTATGACGACAATATTGCAATCATCGTTGATTCGTTCCTCAATGCGTTGGCTGTTTTTCTACGACTAGTGCCTATGGTAAAAGAACTGCAAAACATTTTTTTTTTCTTTCTTCCTACATCTAAAGACTATTCTCCCACTCATTTTCTTTTTTTTCTCTCTATTACCCGTCTTTTTTTCCGTACTTTTTACTGTCTCGTTCTTTCTTATTGTGTATCATGTCATTAGTTCGCGTTGACCACAGTTAAAGGTTATATTATGATTTGTATCCTACTTTTCGACAATAGATAATAATAATCATTCGTTGATTTATGAAAGATACTCGACTAAACGATAAAGTATCTATGGATTTTTTGGAACTTCCTCGTCACGTCGAACATCATAAGTTTTATTTAAGTTCATGTGAGTCAAGCGCTGGAATTGACACACATGATTCAAATATATCATCAAGACATTCATCTTTATCATCCAATTCATCATCAAATATTGTTTTACCTACACGAACATCATCATCTATTCATACAAATATTTTTTTAAATATTCTTAAACGTTTACACTGTTTAACATTACGTCGTAAAAAAAATGGTCGATATCGGTCACTTTCATCATCACTACATCTTTTCTTTAAAAAAAATCAACAATCATCAAATAATATAGATCAATCAACCATTGAATTTTATAAATCACCATCTAGTCCACAAATTTCACCCATACAAACAGATATTGTAAATGTTAATTTATCAAACAAACTTAATCAAAGTTGCCAACAATTATATCATACCGGTGCAAAACAAAATAAAATTTTAAATAGTAAAAATAATAAATTTCAAATAGAAAAATCATTGATTCAAAACATTAGACATTCTGATAAGACAGTTAGTGAAGATAATAATACAAATACATTAAGTTCAGTTGATTTAGCTCTAACACCACAATTATGTATACCTGCCTTAATAAAAGAATCAAATTTATCAGTTACACCTGTTCAACACATAACAACTTTCGATTTAAAATCTGTAAGTGATTTTTTATTTGCATGTGTTTTTTTTTTGTTGCATCCTCCGAGTTGAGAAATCACGTATGATTCTTTCTTCTTTTTGTTTCTCTCTATTACTAATATCGAAACATCTATTGTCTAGACATACACAACATATCTTGATTGATATAGTGTTCATTATTATTTTCCATATTGAGATCTTTTCCTATGGTTAAAATCATAAAATAATTCCATTACATCATATCGATGATTGTATCAACGATTATTTTTCATTTTTTTCTTTGCCCACATAGGTTTCTCTCTCTCTCTCTCTCTCTCTCTCTCTTTCTTCTTTATTCATGCAAACCTAACGATTATTAATCTTTTATGTGATGAAAAATATTATTGTTGATAGGAGAAAAAAAAAGTGGGACTTTTTTTGTTTTTCTTTCTGAAAAAAAAACAAGACGGAAGAAAAAAGAAATCGACTTATGTTTCGATTAATTCGTCTAATATAAGTTCTGTTTTATTTGATTTGGGGTACATTTTTTTCAGAAAATGATAAGATGAAAGCTGCTTTTTTTTCCATTTATCTGTGAATACGGTTGTTATTTAATTCGTCATCATTTACACCCACTGTAACATGTGTTTTTCGATTTCTATATATATATATATTTATATATTTATATATGATAAAACTTATTGGCTTTCGCTTGTATCGATGATTAGATTGAGAAGAAAAAAAAACCAAAAAATTGCATATGTTGATATTGCAAGATAGTGTATCCTTTGTTGTCTTTGGATATATATAATCTTTTGACCGAGTACAGGTAAATCATGATAATAATAAAAGCAAAAAAAAAAAAAAAGAAAAACAAGATGAACTAAATTGCCCCATCTAATTATAAGCACTTTTATTGACATACATCTGAAAAATACTCGTTTATATTCTACCGTTTCCTTCGTGACGTTCTTTCGTTCTCTTTTCTGTTTCTGTTGTTTCTAGTAATTGTAGATGGCAACCAGTGGCGACCTTGCGTTGCTAGTAGTATTGTTATGATGTTGTGCTGTTATTTCACCTTGGAAATATGTCCAAATGTGCATGTATATTTATTGTAAAACAAAACACATATATAGCAACAAAAATTGCTAAGTGAAATGTAAACATAAACAAGAAATCATCTAATAGTATTTGGTAATAGTCAGTCAGCTGACTGTCACAATTATATTTTTGTTCGTAATAATTTATATGAATAATAATAGCCTTGAAACGTGACGAGACACATCGACAAATATACAAAGCAACAATGTAACAGATTAACATAACGGATAAAAAGAACTTTTTTTTTTTGTATATTTGAATTCGGGTCATATTGTTTTATATTATTGACACGAGTGAAAGTTAAAAAAACTGCGCTAGATTTGACCTTGCTGTTTTAGTCAGCTCTCTATGATTGACATTGTCGTGATCGAAATCCTATCGTGACGTTGATGAGCGATTAGACAGACAAAGACGAAGACGAGAGGCGTATGATAAAGAAAAAAAAAAAGAATAGAAGAAATGATGAAAAAAAGGAAAGGAAAAAAAAGAAAGGATATTCAGCTTTTTGATTTTTTTTTTCGTCAGTTTATAATATACAAAAGCGATAAAGAACAACTTTCGTTTTCAATACTCGCACTTTAAGATGGTTTGACAGTGAGCATATATATGCAACAAAAGATGCACTTAAAGACGCAGGTATAATGCAATATGCTCCCCCTCTTTTTTTTTTGTTTATTAAACAGATTGATTAGATGGTCAAAGTCTAAACTATAAATAGCTTTTCATATTATTATCTTGTCAACATTTCTTTCTGAAAATTTACATATATATATCTATATATATCTATATATATATATATATATATTAAGTAATCTTATATATTTAATAATCTTGATTCTTAAGAAATATTTTATTTAAATAAAAGGAATTAAGTAAAAGAAAAAAACGATCACTTAAAGACGGTTCTTCCTTTTTTTTGTATTGGATTTATTATATTGAAAATAGTAATTTTAAACAATTATTAAAATATCATATATGCTTACAAAAATAATATATCTAACTATCCTTGACTAATATATATATATATATATATATACATTTATTCTTAAAAAAAAATAACACTTTATTTTTTTTTTATATTTAGGATGAAACTAATAGTGCTGAGAGTGAAATTGAAATTACTAATATTACAAAAGAAGGATGTGATCGAGCAGAATCATCACAATTTGAACTTTTACAAACACTTGGCGCTGGTTCATTTGGAAAAGTATAACTTACTTACTTTTTTTTTCTATTCGTATATATCAAATTAACAAATAATATTATTTTTCTTTTCTAGGTTTTCCTTGTACGTAAAATTGTTGGTCCGGATGCCAGTACACTCTATGCTATGAAAGTATTGACAAAAGCAAGTCTTAAAGGTTAGTATTATTTGTAATAATGAAATAATTGTATGTATTGTTTGTATTATAAACAATAGTTCGTGATCGTCAACGAACGAAAATGGAACGAGATATCCTTGCACAAATTTCTCATCCATTTGTAGTCAAACTTCATTATGCTTTTCAAACTGAAGGCAAAGTTTATTTAGTCCTTGATTTTTTACGTGGTGGAGATCTATTTACACGTTTATCAAAAGAAGGTACATATATATATAATTCTTCTTTTTGTTTTTTTTTGTTTCAATTTATTTAATCTAATTAACAAGAAAAATTTCTTTTAATTTAGTTATGTTTACCGAACGAGATGTACAATTTTATTTAGCTGAATTAGCTTTGGCACTTGATCATTTACACTCACTTGGTATTGTTTATCGTGATTTAAAACCAGAAAATATTCTTCTTGATACTGATGGTCATATTGCATTGACTGATTTTGGTTTATCAAAAGAATCAGTGCCAACACAAGATTCAAAAACATTTTCATTTTGTGGTACTGTTGAATATATGTCACCTGAAGTTGTTTCACGTAAAGGACATTCACATGTTGCTGATTGGTGGTCATATGGTGTACTTGCATTTGAAATGATAACAGGACATTTACCATTTCATGGTACAAATCGTAAAGAAACAATGAATATGATATTAAAAGCTAAATTAGCTATGCCAACATATCCATCATTAGAAGCACAAAGTTTATTACGAATGTTATTTAAACGTAATCCAGCTAATCGATTAGGTGCTGGACCAGATGGTTTTCGTAATATACAAAATCATCCATTTTTTGAATCAATTGATTGGGATAAATTATATAAAAAACAAATTGAACCACCATTTATACCACCTATTCATTCCGATTTTGCTCATTATTTTGACAAAGAATTTACATGTAAAACACCAACAGGTAGAAAATTTGATGTTTTTGTTTATTCCCGTTTATTTATTTTATTTTCGATTCTAATTCCTCTATAGATTCACCCGGTATTCCGCCAAGTGCTGAAGCTCATGAATCATTCCATGGTTTTAGTTATATTGCACCTGAATTAATAGATGCTCGTCAAAATGATTCAACATATTCAAATGATGTTGAAAGACGTTTAAGATCAATAATTGGTGTTAAATTAACACCATTTAAA